TATATATATATATTTATATATATATAATAACTATTATCTTCAGAAATGCAATATATATAATAACCATTATCTTCAGAAATGCAATATTCCATCATCGCACAAGCAAACACATTTTCTTGCAAAGCAATGATTTCACTTGGGGTTTTTTGCTGTTTGTTCTGATTTGTTTGAAACTATGAGGATCATAACAGGATTGTAGCTTAAGGCTTTGTTGAAGGATTACCTGCTTAATGAGCCCTGATTATTAAAAATAATTTCTTTTTTTCTTTGTTTCCAGCTGCATTCTAATTCAGACAAAGGTGATGGTTCGGTCAGGTACATCCTTAGCGGTGAAGGAGCAGGGAGTATATTCATCATCAACGAGGTAACGGGAGACATCCACGCCACCAAAAGTCTGGACCGCGAAAAGAAATCACATTATGTTCTTCACGCGCAGGCCATCGACATCAACACCAACAAACCTCTGGAGCCTGAGTCAGAGTTCATTATAAAAGTGCAGGATATTAATGACAATGCACCCAAATTCCCTGACGGGCCCTTCGTCACGTCTGTGCCTGAGATGTCAGAACTTGGTAAGACTTTCTTGATTTTTGTCGTTTATTTAAAATGCTATTAATTATTAGCCCTTTTATGATCTGGTCTGATGATAATGATGTTAAAGCTATTGGATTTGGATTGGCCATCAGTGTTTTTATTATTCATTAGCTGAAAGGAATTTAGTTATTGTATATTTGTGGTGTGAAGTTTATTCTTTAAAATTTAGGGAGATTTTACAACTTTACATTATTGCTATATTTACTGTACTTGGTCTGAAGAACTAGGCATACATGCTGTGGTCTTTTATAAACTTGTTTTCCATTCGTTTAAAAATCACTATATAATAATAATAATATAATAATAATATACAAATATTATTAACAAAATGTGAAAAAACAAAAATAATCAAAAATAAAATAATTTATGTTAATGAACTAACACTAAAATGTTGGATTTAGCTAAATTATGCATGTGAAATAACTTATTATTAGTAACTTATATAATGAATTATTATAAACGTTGCATATACAGGGTGGGTTTCTATGGATACACCTTAATAAAATTTTGAAGTTGGCCATCTTGACTAATTCACTAGTTCATGGCTAATTCACGGTAGTGAATTCACGAGTTCGGTCAAATGAAAATGTACGATTTTAAAAAGGAGGCTTGGCACCCAACCCCACCCCTAACCCCAACCGTCATTGGGTGATGAGCAAATCGTACTAAATTGTACGAAAAGTTACGAAATGCTGTGAGATTGCATTGGAACACGGTAGCAACCTTATTGCTTAACAGTCAAACCACATCAGAATACCTTAGCAACCACGCTACACCATAGTCTAACCCAGGGGTGTCAAACTCAATTCCTGGAGGGCCGAAGCCCTGCACAGTTTAGTTCCAACCCTGCTCCAACACACTTACCTACTCAATTAGTTTGATCAGGTGTGTTTAATTAGGGTTGGAACTAAACTGTGCAGAGCTGCAGCCCTTTTGGATCTGAGTTTGACACCTGTGGTCTAACCCCATCAGAACAGAATACAACCACATTGCACCATGGTCAAACCATACAGGAGCTCAAAGGCAACATTCCACCATGGTCAAACCACATCAGATCACCCTAGCAACCGCATTGTACCTTGGCCAAACTTCATTAGAGCACTTTAAGAATCGCATTGCTTTATGATTAAACCACATCGGTACACCTTAGAACCACATTGCACCATGGTCTAACCATACAAGAGCTCAGAGGCAACAGGATTGAACCATGGTCTTACCCCATCAGAACACCTTAACAACCAAATTGCATCCTGCTCAAACTCCATCAGAACAACGTAGCAACCACACTACACCATGGTCTAACCCCATAAGAACACATTAGTAACCGCATTGCACCATGGTCAAACCCCATTGGAGCACTTTAACAACCCCATTGCTCAATGGTCAAAACACATCAGTATACCTTAGCAACCACACTGCACCATAGTCTAACGCCATTATAACACCATAGCAACCATATAACATCATGGTCAAACCCCTTCAGATCACCTTAGCAACCGCATTTGTCTCTGAACAGCTCTTGATCTTTTTGCTTGTGGAAACCCATGGGAAAGTTTTTGTCTGTTCTCTGAGGAGTGGTGAATAGTTACACTGCTCAACCTGTCATGCATTTTATCTCAACTTTGGATGATTCGGTCCACTCCAAAAAAACTAAAAGTAAAAAAGTGTGTGCAAATGTGAAAAATTGAAATGGCCTTTTAAAAAGCAGAGCTGTCAAAACACTATTTTAACCAGAGGCATGTACTGGTCCATCACTTGCAATTCAGATCTCCCAGATTCACTCCACACCCGACTCAGGCTGTTTTTCCCTGTCCACCCCATGGCTTTTATGCTGCTGTTTTGAGTTTTGTGGCTGGATTTCCCTCAGGAGCTGAGAACTCTTCGAAAGCATTGCTGTATACTCATGCTTTCTCCTAGAATGATCCACTTCCACCAAGAGAAATAGTCATAAAAATAAACGTGTATATATATATATATATAGAGAGAGAGAGAGAGAGAGAGAGAGAGAGGGGGGGGAGTTTCCCCAGGGTTTGCAAATCGCTAGGGATTTGTGATGAAACTGCAGGGGGTTTGTAAGAAGATTGTTGTAGAAATGTGGAGAAAAGTAAATATGTTTGTCTTGATTCAATTTATTAAACGCAGCTACATTAAGATGGTAAATGTTTTGCTACTAATTTGATATTTAACCTTCACTTGTGGATATGGCTTCTGTGTAACAATCCATTTTTCTACTTGTCTGCTCTGATTTCAAGCACCATGTTGTTTTTAAAATCCTGTTTTTAATTGTTTGTTTATTATCAGTCATTATTCTTGAACCTGGACCACAAAACCAGCTGTAAATGTCATTTATTTTGGAAATTGAGATTTATAGATCACCTGTAATCTGAATCAATAAGCTTTTTATTGGTTTGTTGGGAGAGAAACAGCAATATTTTGGCTGAAAATCTGGAATCAGTTTCAAAGTAATGTAAATATTGAGAAAGTCACTTTTAAAGGTGTCCAAATTCCATTCAATCCATAATGCTAATCTAAAATGAATGAAATATAGATCTATACATTATCTAAATGGAAAATGATCTTTATTAATATCCTAATGGGGGACGGTAGTTCGGTGGTGAGCACTGTTGCCTCACAACAAGAAGGTCACTAGTTCGAGTTCCGGCTGGGTCAGTTGGCATTACTGTGTAGAGTTTGCATGTTCTCCCCCTGTTGTTGTGGGTTTCCTCCGGTTGCTCTGGTTTTCCCCACAGTCCAAAGACTTGAATTTAATAAACTAATTTGTCTGTAGTGAATGAGTGTGCATGGATGTTTCCCAGTACTGGGTTGTAGCTGGAAGGACATCTGCTGCATAAAACATGTATGCTGAAATAGTTGGCAGGTCATTCTGATGTGGCCACTTCTGAAATAGAGACTAAGCCAAAGGGAAATGAATGAATATTCTAATGATGTTTACACTCATTTTGGCTATTTCCAAAAATATAGCCACACAACATAAGATGCGTAAAGTTACATCTCATTTTAACATATTAATATTGGGTTTATTTAAATCTAAGCAACATGTTGAGTTCAAATGCTGAAATCACAATTTGATAGTGGTTTTTAGATAGTAATGCACTGAGCAATTTTATTTCAGAAACAGACTGGTGGGAAATGTATTTTTATTTATTTTTTTGGCAGTAATGCGTAATAGTACATATTAAATAGCTGAAAATAACAGTAGTTTAGTAACTAGTTTATCCTTGTATTTTAGCCTGCTCATATTCCTGCAGAAAATTATTGGAAAAGTAGTTTCATGACACAAGGCGCCTTGTTTTAATGTCAGAAGTTCAGGAAACAGAAGAGGTTAGGAAGCTCTCCTTACAGCCCACACACAATATGTCACTGCTGATTTCCTAAAAAATGCCTGTTGTATCATTTGTATAACAGAAGTTAAATATGTGGTGGATTTTATTTTATTATTTTACCTGGGCCACTGGGAATTTTGTTTTTTATTTTATTTTATTTTATTTTATATTATTTTATTTTATTTTATTTTATTTTATTCTATTTTATTTTATTTTATTTTATTTTATAATTATATAATTTATAATTTTTTTTTTCTTTTGCTGGGCCGGTTTTATTTTGTTTATAATTTTTACATTTAATTTAGTTTGATTATTTAATGTAATTTAATTGAATGATTTTTTTAAATGTATTAATTTTAGCTGGGCCAGTGTCAATTTTGTTTTGCTCCTTAAATATGTGGTGGATTTTATTTTAATAATTTAGCTGGGCCAGTGGGAATTTTATTTTATTTTATTTTATTTTATTTTATTTTATTTTATTTTATTTTATTTTATTTTATTTTATTTATTATATAAAAATTTTATTAAATTTAATTATTTAATAATTTATTGCAATTTATTATTATTAGTAGTAGTAGTAGTAGTAGTAGTAGTAGTAGTAGTAGTAGTAGTAGTAGTAGTAGTAGTAGTATTTATTATTATTAAATTCAGCTGGGCCAGTGTCGTTTTTTTTTTTTTTGCTTTATTTTATTTTATTTTAGGCATAGTATAACAAAAACATGACATGATTTCAGCCATGTCCATATTAATCTTTAGTCCAATTTTTAAAAACTTTTATTAGCTGGGCGAGTAGAAATTTGCCAAGTGAAAATCTGAACCACTATAGCCTATGATTAGTGAAACTCCTTAACATTAACCAATGCTTAAGGTTTGAAATCTGGCAAATAAATCACATGCATAAATATTGTCATTTAAATTAATACTAATTGGCAATATTTTCCTGTGTTACTGTATTAAAAATATTATCGAGCATCTAAATATTTTAAAATATCATATTGATCTTAACCATTCCAGTATCATGACAACAGTACCAGCCATGCCACTGCATGTTCTCATTCTCATTCTCATCCATGCCAGATAGATTTTTTTTGTCTCTCTTTGAAGGCTATGTTCCCGGTTTCGCATGTACAAATGAAATATTTCTCCTTATCCTGGCAGCACGAAACACTTCTTTGTGAGATTATGGCCTGTGGGTTTAGAAAGCTTTGTTTATTGTTTATTTAGGTCCCAATTGGATGTTGCCATAGCAACTAAAGCACGTACACTGATCTGCGGTATCGCAAGATTTGAAGACCAGCTGCAATCAATGCTGAAGGAGTCTATTATTGCCTGGCTGTTGTCCATTACTGTTGGCGATTCATGCGCAGAGTGGGTTCAAAATCCCAATTATAGATGTCTTGGAGAGCAACGCCGCTGTTATGTCAGAGCCGTGCTGTCCACTTGACCAACACAGATTAGTTTTCTCACAAGGTGCTACTCCTTTATAGGATATATCAGTCTCATCGGATAGGTTTGCTCCTCTTGTTTGCAAACATACAAACTGGATGAATCCGGTATGCTGCGTCTGTAGCTCTGAATTTCAAGTACTGCTCTGGTATTATGATTGTTACCAATAAAGATAGCATTCATTTTGT